AATCTCCGCCCCCGGGCCCCCATTCACATATTTCCCCCCTGACCCCACACACCACGAAAACGCGTCCACGGTCGACAACTCCCCCCCTTTCAACTCTTCCTCACCGACAAACCCCCCCAAGCCCCCCTTCCTCCTTCCCTTAGAAATGGCAAATTCCCTGTTTCCCCCCACCCACCCCGCATCCCCTTCCACCCCCCCCCTCCATCCCACCTTTGTGACCTTTGTGTATTGGTCGTGTACGACGTTGTGCCAGTTGAGGGAGTCCACCGGCTCACTGAAGGCCACGTCTTTGAGGCGGGCGGCCAGGGCGGCATGGACCCGGGAGCTCAGGGCGAGCTCGTAGTGGCCCGTGGGGTTCGTAAACCGAAGAAACGAATACCTGGTTGGGTACGGCAATAACAACAAGGTGTACGGCAATAGCAGGAGGATGGGAATGTCTTAGGAGGGCGGGGGGAGGAAGGGGGCAAAGTTGGGGGAGGGGCTGGGGTTGGGGGAATCCGTGGGTGGCGAAACCCAGGAGGGCGGGGTGTGGGGTTTAGGGTGTGTGTGGGGAAAAGGGGCGCCGGAGAAGGTACGACGGTGGTACGGAGCGGCTGGGGGGAAAGAAGGAAGTGGTAGTCTGTTTGTGTTTATATCCGTACGCTACCGCCCGCCCTCCTCTCCCACCATTCACACCATGCGCCCGAGCTTATTAAACCCTTTCTTCCTTCCACACCCCATCCGGTCCCAATCTCGCTCCCCCTCTCGCCCCCTTCCCCCTCTTACTCCATCTCTCCCTTCTCCCCCCTCCCTCCCCCCCCTCACCCCTTCTTCTCCCCCCTCTCTCCTCCCCCCCTCACCAGCCCAGAGTGTGCTGCAACGCGTCCTGGCTGTGTGCGTCCCCCAGTCCCTTCATGAGCTCCGTCACGTTCTCGTCCAGGTCGGCACAGCGAGTGAACAGCAGCGCGGCAGCCAGCACCAGCTCGTCGCCGATGGAGAAGGACCGCAGCAGCGCGGCGGCCTGGGAACACAAAACGTAGTTGAAGGGGGCCATCACCTGCAGCAACAGTAACAGCAGTAGCAACAGCAGTGGCAGTAACCATAGCAGCAGCAGTAGCAGTAGCAGTAGCAGCAGTAGCAGCAGTAGCAACAAGGGAGCGATGCGTGAGCGGGTAGTACAGTTTCGTGTAGTTGTAATGGTTGCAGTGGCGAGTGCAGGAGGAGGAGGAGGAGGAGGGTACCTAGGAAACACACCAAACAGAAG